TATGTATGAATATTTTTGTATATTTGTGGCCAGTAATATAACTTCTTGATCTTTCCAAACATGCTATCAGTGCCGAAATGGCCACCAGTCAGATAGTTATGCATTAGGTAAAGTATTGTTTGTACTTTATCTTCCTTAATGACTTTTAACAACCTTCCACGAAACTGACTTCTTCTGTCCTTTTTGTATAAGAATCCATTCTTGCTCTCGTAGAATCGACTTTTGGAGCTAATCCTAGCTTGTGTTGCCATATCAAGGTCTTGAGGTAGACTCTTGGTTTTTAGATACCGTTTCAACTGTTCATATTCTTCACCGTTCATCTTGACTTTATCGCCAGGACACCGGAACCTGGACTGGATTTGTTTCTTCAGTTTTCTGATCTCCTTATAAGTATTATTTTACTTTTTGTAATCTTAATTCTCAAGAGTTTATTTTTTAATTTCTTTTCTATTAATTTTTAATTCTCCTTCTATTCTAGTTCTTACTAATTTCTTTAAGTTCAATGTGCCCCTTCCTCGCATATTGGTGTCGTGACTAGCCTTTAGATTGTCACATCCACATCGCTGCCTTAATATCCTTTGATTTTTTTTTTTTTTTTTTTTTTATATATACATACTATATATACCTATTATTTATTGTCCATACTACTTTTTTCTATTCTTTTTCATTCAATATTCTTTTTAATTATCTTTTGATTTATATATTTCTATATTGTTTATTATCACTTCCTTTTCCCTCTAGGTCTCTACTTCAGTCTCATTCTTTCTAGTTATAGCATATCCCTTTTTTTTTATTTTTTTTTTTATTAGAAGTATATTATTGTTAATCTATGGTGTTGGCTATTAGGTTTTCAATTGTCTTGGCATTGAGGCTACTATGTTGGATTTTATTTACATCCAACCCTGCTTCTTCAGCACCTTCTGCAACCCATTGTTGCAAGATAATTAAATCCTCAGGATCATTGGCGATTAATGGAAAGGTGAGAAATTCTATGTGATATACAGCTTGTCTAAGGTTGAGTTGTCTTGCGGCATAATGTGTGCCTAAAGTTAGGTGCACATATAAAAAGTACTTGTGCCCATTATCCATACAGGTTTTAGCAAATACTAATCTCCTGCAACGTCTTGAGCTTATCAGTTCAAAGACCATTATGGGTACAAATTCGGACCTATTCTCAATTAGTAGGGCTATGTTTCTTCTGAGTGACTCTTCCTCGTCACTACTATTTTGAGGTGTAGCTACTTCATGGATAGGTGACATCGGTTCATAAATTGCATTTACCATGCAGACTTGGACCTCTTTTTCTTGTTCTTCTGATTTAATTTCACCTATTAAATTAACCACTTCATTTAATTCTAGGTTAATTCGCTGCCTAGTCCCCATATTTACATCTAATTTTTTGTAAATTTTTCTTCAGAGTAACTCTTGTTGGGCAACCTCTAGTAACCATTCGCGGAGGAGGACCACCTGCTTGGATTCATTGACGATGAGGTGGTAGTTAAAGAGATAGTGTAGATAAACGGGTTCTGCTAGATCTAGTTTGATCATAGTATAATGGTCTCCTAATTTTTTATGCCTATATATATAATAGGTGTTGCTGAAGTAGACACATCTTCCCACATATTTTAATTTCTTGACGTGGAAAGTGCTTATTTTAGACAACTCCATTTTTCCTTTGTTTTTAGAGGCAAGTTTTCATATTAACTTTTCTCCCTTACTCATTTCATTTCTTGCTTTTTCTTGAGTAGTATCTAATGCCTTTACTTCTACTTCATTTTTGAGGTCATGAAGTCTTGACAACATGTCAGCGTTGTTGTGTTTCTTACTAGCCCTATAGAGAATTTTAAAATTATAGGTTTCTAGACAAAGCATCTACCGGGCACATCTGCCTTTTAGCTCCGAGGTTCTAAGCCACTTAAAGGCCGAATAGTTGGTAATTAACATAAAGTGGGCAGTATCTAAGTACTGGTGAAAATGCTCTATAGCCCATACCATGGCTAAATATTCTAGCTCAGTTACATGGTAATTTTTCTCGGCTCCAGTGAGGCTTCTACTTGCATATGCTACGGCATACTCTTTCTTGTTGTCGGTTATTTGGGCCAACACGGCACCTAACCTGGTGCCAGAAGCATCGGTGTGTAAGTAGAAAAGTTTCGAGAAATCGGGGTAACGAAGAACCGGGACCATAATTAATTTGTTTTTTAATACTTTAAAGGCTTCTTGTTGCTCTTTTTTCTATTTATATGGCTTATCCTTTTTTAATAAATCATGTAGAGGTCGGGCTATCTTCGAGAAATCTTTTATGAATCTATGATAGTAGGAAGCTAAGCCTAAAAATCCTTTAAACTAACGTAGGGTGGTGGGTATGGAGTAGTCTTTGACATTAATAACCTTATCTATATCAGGTAATATACCTTCTCTATTTACTGTATGTCCTAGGAACTTAATTTTGGGAAGGCCGAATTTACATTTTTCTTTGTTTACTTTTAATTTAGCTTTTCTTAGAGTGGCGAAGATGGCCTTTAAGTGTTGCATATGGTCCTTAAAAGTTTTAGAGTAAATGGTTATATCATCAAGATATACCACTAAAAACTTTTCTTTGTAATCATCTAATACTTCGTTCATAAGCCTCTAAAAGGTCGTGGGAGCATTACATAACCCAAACGGCATCACATTGAATTCATAGGTGCCGAATTTGGTTATGAATGCCATTTTTTTCTTATTCTCTTTCCGCATAGAGACTTGCCAGTAGCCACTGGCTAAGTCTAGGCTAGAGAACCAATGAGCGCCTTGGAAGGACTCTAGGACTTCTTCAATCAAAGGCAAAGGATAGGTATCCTTTTCTGTAATGCTGTTTAATTTTCTGTAATCGACGCATAACCGCTTTTTACTGTTCTTTTTAGGTACGATTACGACGGGCAAGGACCAAAAGCTACTTTTACATTTTCTTACAACACTCTTCTCCTCCATTGCTGTAATTTCTTTAAGCAAGAATTTTTGCTCATCCTTGGAGGTACGGTAGTAGATCTGCTTAACCAGTTTGGCGGTACTAGTGTGGATTTCGTGTTGGGTTAGATTGGTACAGCCTAGCCCTAAGGTCTGACCTTCTTCGGCTATATCTTCTGCGAAAATATTCTCATTAATATCTAATAAAGTTCTAATTACTACTCTATTTTTTTCGTCTAGTTGATCTAAACTACTCCCTATTCTTAAACTGATAGGGTCCACTTCGGTTAAGTAGACGGCCGGGTTGTTGTCTTTAATTACTATTTCTTCTTTCTCTTTATCTAACTCTACTTCTTCCGAATAATAGGTCTCGTACTCCTCTAAATGTTCTTTTTCAAACTCCAATTCCTCCAATAAATCGTCTAGGCTATCTAACTCTTCGCTAATGTCACTTAACAGAGGTTGATTGTCAAGATGAGTAGTTGGTATAACTGTTCCCTGCCCATTGTATTTTACTCTTAAGGTCCTAGTATTAAAGTCCCATTGGGCTTGGACCTTTTCAAACCAGTTAGTGCCTAAAAGGAGAGTCTCTTCCAGGGATTCTATTACTTGGAATTGGGTAGGTATAAGTATGTCCTGTATGGCCAATTTGGTGTCATTAATTTGACCCAATGCTCTTTATTTTTGTCTGTTGGCTATAACTACTACAACCCTAGAGAGTGTGTTTATGTTTAGGCCTAGTTTCCTCCTTAGCCTATCGGTAATTATGCTTACCGTGGCTCTTAAGTCGAGAATAGCAATTACTGGATTTCCTTTTACTCTTACGTAGTACTTGGTGGCGGTAGTTTTACATGCACCCACATTATCTATATTATTTATGTGGTTTACCATTGTTGGTGTGATAGGTTGGAGGTTACGGCATAATACTTTAGCAAGATTTCTTCTTTAGTTCGGATATTGTAGCATCTGGCCTAGGGTAGCGCTAGACAACAGCTTTAAAATATCTTCGGATATATCATATAGTTTAACCTGATTAATGACTGATAGTTGCTTCTTAGTCTTCAATTTTTTTACAGTAGGTACTGGCCCAACACTTTCTCCATCCACTTACATGGGGTTGAGTTTGACACGTTTCCTCAAATTGTATTCTCCTTGAGGCTCTAATCTTTTTCTTTTGTGGACTTAACGGCCCGTATTACACGACTGGTGGAGGTCCCTATCTCCAGTATACACTTGTTCTTCGGTATATAAATGTTTATTATTGTCCGAAGCGAAGCATAGAACTCATACTTCTACGTTAAGTGATAACCAAAACTACATTTTTTGATATATTTATATCAAGATTATCAAAAACATAGTTGTGGCATTTTTTGTCTGAGACACACATACCTATATTTGCTTTTTTGTGTTACAAAATTATGAGAATTATGCGTTTGTGCATATGAGATAAAGCTTTACTTCGGTATAACCTTTGTCAATCTTAATTACATACTGTCAAAAAAGTGAGTAAGTATTTTTTATATCTATTTTGTTTATTGTTCGTATTAGAATTTAAATGATTTAATTTATTGGGTACTACATATACTAATTACTAACAAATTATTTGTCTATAAATCTTACAATCTACGATACTTTAGTATGTAACAGATAATGTATTTAAAAATTATATATATATATATTTTTCGATGCTATGATTTCTAAAAAAAATATTGACATTTAATAAATGGCTTAGAATTGATGAAAGCTGCTCAGGCAGGTTGGATTGCTAGAAATATCTTCGATTATGATTGAGATTATTTGAGTACTGCAAAGAGAAATGAAACTTCGGGTCATAGGTAGACTTTCATATGATTGGCTATTTAAATCAATTTAATTTTACATTATTTATATGGTTTAAAGTACTTTTTAAAAAAAATAAACCTACGAAGAATAAACGAAAAATAAGTATATAGAAACTTTTATTAGAATTGTAGGACTTTGCTATTAAAAATAATCCAAATCTCTTTTTGTTTTAGAGAAGTTAGTATAATAGCGACTTCTTAAATATAGATAGAATTAGGTTATCACCATGTTAACTTCTCTAAAACAAAAAAGGATTTAGATTATTTTTAGTAGTGGAGTCCTACAACCCTAATAAAACTTTCTACTTACTTCTTTTTTGTTTATTTTTCGTGGCTTTATTTTTTTTAAAAAGTACTTTAAACCATATAAATGATATAAAATTAAATTGATTTAAACAGCCAATCATATGAAAGTCTGCCTATGAGACTTCGGGCTTTAGAGTTTATTATTTTTTATTTACTAGATTTAGCCCTTAAAAATCTAATCAGTAACTGGCTAGAGCTGAGAAGGACGAAATAAAATCTATTCAAACCTTACTCTACTAAATTTCAAGACCGTTCAGCTCTCGGTTCAACTAGTTGGCTGGCTAGCAGAAATGCCAGATATGTTTTAAAGGTAGACTTAAATTCAGGATTTTTATCGCTTAGATAGTAATTTTGATCCGCATTTATTGATTTTTTTTTTAACATAGGTTATTCGGGTTCTTGAATTGTTATCTGCATGGAATTAGAGTTGAAAAGGATGAGCGATGAAGGAATTGGAGATGAAAAGGATAAACATAAGGCAGAAATGCCAGATATGTTTAAAGGTAGGCTACTTAATTTAGATTATTTCTCGCTTAGTAATTTTGATATGCATTTATCTATTTTTTTTTTTTTTTTTTAAGGTAGGTTATTCTGCTTTTTGAATATTATCGGCATGGAATTAGAGTTAAAAAGGATGAGCAATCGTTCATTCATCTGTTATCAAAAAACTGATATCAATATTGTTATGATAAAGGAATTGGAGATGAAAAGGATGAACATAAGGCAGAAATGCCAGATATGTTTAAAGGTAGGCTACTTAATTCAGATTATTTCTCGCTTAGTAATTTGATATGTATTTATCGATTTTTTTTTTTAAAGTAGGTTATTCGGGTTCTTGAATGTTATCAGCATGGAATTAGAGTTAAAAAGAATGAGTAATTGTTCATTCGTCTGTTATCAAAAAACTGATATCGATATCATTATGATGAAGGAATTGGAGATGAAAAGGATGAACATAAGGCAGAAATGCCAGGTATGTTTAAAGGTAGGCTACTTAATTTAGATTATTTCTTGCTTAATAATTTGATATGCATTTATCTATTTTTCTTTTTTTTAAGGTAGGTTAATCGGGTTCTTGAATGTTATCGGCATAAAATTAGAGTTGAAAAGGATAAGCAATGAGTCATTCGTCTATTATCAAAAAACTGATATCGATATCATTATAATAAAGAAATTGGAGATGAAAAGAATAAGCATAAAGCAGAAATGCCAGATATGTTTGAAGGTAGGCTATTTAATTTAAATTATTTCTTGCTTAGTAATTTTGATGTATATTTATCTATTTTTTTTTAAGGTAGGTTATTCGAATTCTTGAATATTATCTGCATAGAATTAGAGTTAAAAAGGATGAGCAATTGTTCATTCGTCTATTATTAAAAAACTTATATTGATATTGTTATGATGAAGAAATTGCAGATGAAAAGGATGAACATAAAACAGAAATTCTAGATATGTTTAAAGATAGGCTACTTAAATTCGGATTATTTCTCGCTTAGTAATTTTAATGTGCATTTATCTAATTTTTTTTAAGGTAGGTTATTTGAGTTCTTAAATTGTTATCAGCACAGAATTAGAGTAGAAAAGGATGGGCAATAAGGCATTCACCTATTGTCAAAAATCTGATATATAATGAAGCATTGAGTTACGAAGGAATTGGAGATTAACATTGTGGCGAATTTATGAAATACCCCAAAATCCGAAAAATTTAACTACTAAGCTATATAGGTTTTGCTGAAATAAGAAATTTTTCTAGGCTAAGATATGTCGCTATAATAATTTATATGTTTAATAATAGTGGAAAAGATAGTTTAGACATGTTATCAGTCTAGATCAGGGGTCCAAAAAAAATTTTTCGAGGTTTGGTATCAATTTATTAATATGTAAATTGGTAACTAATATTTACTTTAGAAAACAAAATACTCGGATTTGGTGACCAAAGTTTAGCTAAGTTTCATAAATTTGCCGTGATGAAAGGATGAACACAGAGCATTCATTTATTATCAAAATACCGGATCTGTTTTAATTTAAAGTAGGTTATTCCAGTTGTATAATACTTTCTACTTGGTAGACAACAGAAATATTCAGGAACCCAAATAATTTACAATTACTATAATTAGTAAAAATTGATGTATTTTTATTATATTTATGTATAATCTGGTAATGGTTATACTGTATCGTTATATAGTAATTATAAAAAAAAAAATTAAAATTAAAAAATGATAGCAAAAAGTAAAATAAAATTAAACAAAAAAAATAAATTGTAAAATGAATTAAAAATTAGAATAAAAACATTAAAGTTATTAAATTAAAAATTGAATGTATTGTAATAAAATTAATTTTTTAATATATAATTTACTGTAGTATATAATTAATTATTTATTGTTTAAATTAATACTTTAGACATACTGTTTTTCAGTTACTAGTATATACTGTATAAACCTTAGAAATTATAGATGCGTTTTATAATATATAATTAAAA